GGTAATAGCGGTTTAAAAGATAACCCTGACTGCAAGTGTTGGCTCCAGTTATAGCATTAAACCAGGTTAGTTGTATCATAACAATGCATATAAAATTACTATACAAATGTTGCCAATCTAAGAAATATATATTCTATGAAATATAGTGCTATCGATCATACATAGCAAAATAATAGATAATCTGAAATGCAATTTTGAGTTAAAGTTTTTTTTACATTTTTGCAATCATCGAATTGCTTGCTTTTCACATATATATACCAGTAACATGTCAGTATTATGTCAGATCGATCAATGTAAATTATCACATCTATAATTTTGAATCTCTTTCCTCGTATTTATAACATGTCAAATACAATAAGACAAGAACAAAGAGATGCTAACACTGCTTGAATGTGCAGGAAAAGAGCTGCAGAGGCTGATAAGCAAATAAACTAGTGATGTCAATGTGATGCTAATGCTCATCGATACTGTCATGTAGAGGAACATAAAGAGCAATATCTGAATCAACGCCAACAGAGTGTCACTACTGAATGCCAATGACATGCTGAAGCAACTGAAGACCAACATCACAATCGGAATCATCAAGATGCTGAAGCTTACTGCCAACAATGTATCAACAACCCTCAGCTATACAATTTTGCCTGTGGTTTTTCAGAAAATGCAAATATTAATTATCCAATTCTGCACCAAATCGACGTTACAAACAGCATTACATATAATCATTGCAATGCTCTCAAACTGCCTATAGAAAGTCCTGGAATTTGCTGTTCTAATGGAAAAATAATATTAGCAGAGCCCAGTATTCCAATGTTTTTGCAGCATTTACTTTCTAGCCAGGACAATGTTGCAAAGGACTTCCATAACAAAATTCAACTTTATAATTTTGCATTTACTTTCACTTTCATTGGTGCCAGATATGATCATGGACTTGTCAATGCACAATCAGGTGTCTATACCTTTCATGTTCAAGGTTCATTCTATCATTGAATTGGTTCTTTATTACCAGAATCAGACTCTGAACCACATTATTTGCAAATGTATATCTGAGATA